AAAATTATGGCTACCATAGCACAGTATTAAGAGAATTAGCAAAAGACAATATTGCTCTTACTGAACTTAACGCAATGTGCTGACTTAAAGTATTGCCTTTAATACGGTATCAATGAGTCAATAACATTATTTATTGAAAAATGAATAAAATGTATCTATAAGGATTAAAAGTTTTAATTTTCCATCTTCAAATAATCTAAACATTTTAAGATTTATATCTACCATCAAAATAAACTCGGTTTTGATTTATAGATTGTTGACAACAATAATGGTCTTAGCGGAAACCATTTCATTGCTCTACAGAATAATAATTTAATCATTTCGCATGTTTACTGCCTAACTTAAAGTATTTTCTACGTAAAATGTTGCATAAGAAAACTAAAGAGACACAATACAATACGTCCTAAACCACTCATATATGAATTTTGCCACGCAAACCTGCCAAACTTTTTTAAAACCTAATGACATTATCTAATAGACTCTAGCCAAAATTATCTCTAGTTATTGCGAGTTTATTTAACGTATTTTAAAATATCAATTCGCTTGCTATTGACTATCAAAAGTCATTGCTCTCGTATTTCCAACAATTCTATTTTAACTGTTAACAATGGTAAACTTGCAACTTAATATAATATCAGTAGGCTACGTAGCGAGTATCAATTTAAATCGAAATAGATCTGATCTAAAGCTGATTAATAGTTTCATTAAATTCTATATTACTAGATGTTTATAATCAAGGTGATGCGATAGAATAGTAATCTTATTTCTTGACATAAATGCCAAGCATTGATCAAATTACAGGTTGCTATGAAATTCTAAATATTGCTTCCACCGATTGTTTATTTAGTCTCTAGATAAGCAACTAATGAGATATCGCGAATAACTGCAAATATTTATTATCTGTACTTAGCACAATCTGTGAAATTCATTGATAGCGAACCATAACGATATGACGTAGATCAATGGTTGTGTACTATGAAATTAAATACAATCAGAAGGATTATTTTTCCATGAGCAAACTATAATACAAGCAAATCATGGCTTTTGTCTTTACTAGTCTGTACTAGTTACAACTGAAGAAATATTAAACTGGTATTCATCTTGGCTTTGAACAGTTTCCAGTTCATTAATTATAGTCAATGAGCATAGTAGGGCTATTTATCCAAGAATGGGTTATGACAGGATAATATTAGTCAACAGCTATTTAAGATGTATACTAGTTATAACCAAATACAATATAGGACAAGGATTAAATTATTGATGACAGTAAACTTGTATTAGTTGACCTTAATTTATAATTCATAGTCGATACAATCAGCTAAGATTTTTGTCCAAGACTAGAAGTATCATCGTACCGCACAAACTAAGATTTACTGATGATCGATACTAGTTTAGAGTGAAAGGAATATGGGACGAGTGATAAATTGTGTAGCTATTGTATAATCAGTTCTTTGCTCCTTATTTTAATCAATGCGATATAATGTATTGGTGGAATACATGAGTATTAAACCACGTTAAATATTGCATCAGTACCTGATTGAATAAGATCTGTACTAAATACAATTGATCAAGCGCTGAGCTAAATTTCGTACTAGATGATGAACGAATTTTTCAGTCCAGTAGGCATTTAAGATATATACCGGTTAAAATTATGATAAACAATTAAACTATTTGCTTATACTTGTAAAAATAGCTTTGTTCCGTCCTAAATGCCATATGTAATCATCGATAATTACAATTAATGAAAGTATTCACTGAAATAGAGGACTAGACGAAGAGAGCAAAGAAGACGGTGGTTTAATGTTCTTTCCTACTCTACTCCATGGGCTGGCAGTTTGCACAGTGCTACTATTAATTAGATTGGATCGAATAAATCAGCAGCAATGCGGCGAGTGGTTAGTTTTGCTCAATATAGAATTAGTGAATTATTGCCTAAGCTTATGCATTTTATGAACCGTCAAATTGGTACAGATACTTACCTATCATACTATATGTTTTTTACAGTAAATAATTCTAGTTACGTAATAGCTTTTTATGCAAGTTAAAATGATCAAGAACAATATAGATGGCTAAGGAAAAGCTATAACTAAATATATATATATGGATAAAATTGATTATTATATAATAACAATGTATAGCTAAAATCGTCATTAACAAAATAAAAACAAGCATCATAGTAGACAGAAAATTTTTATCTATATCCTGAAATAAAATACTCCAGATTGTTGCTTTATGGTTTTTCATATGAAACTATAAATTATGAATAACGTTACATTATTTTATTTCTACCCTTCATAATACCATTACGGCGATCACCCTCCATTATGAATTGATACTTTTAGTAGTTACCATATTAATGAAATTAATTTGGTAAAAATGGATTTACTGAAGTAAATGGAATGAAGGAGTTAAAATATTAATTCGTAATACAAGTGTGAGTATATAATATATTGTAAATTTAAATAAACTAGACCATTGACACCCTTGATAGGTACCATACTAATGAGATTAATATAAAGAAAAATTGATTTTTAGAAGTAAATAGAGTCGACGAGTAAAAATATTAATTCGTAATACAAGTATAAGCAAGCATGCGAGTATGTAAGATGCTGTAAACTTAAGTAAACAGACTTAATATGGCTCCTATTCACATTGTAATGAAACTAAAGTCAACTGAATGACATTATTATAAGGCCAATACTGAATTCAACCTGTTTTAGTATGCTATTTTCCATCTTGAATTATAACTATCCATATGCACTAGTGGAACCGGCGATTATACTGGAACCATACAGAAATTTATCAATCTGATTAATTGACCTTATCGATGAATAGTCTTTCAATTAGAGTCTGTTGTTTATATCAATTTGCCATGATATTAGGATTATCTCTATGTTGTCACGAAACTAGTTGATCCTTTTTCCCTTTTTATTATCAAGCCAATGTATAGTAAAATGAAGACTATGCTATTATAAACAGATGTATACGTATCCAGCTGCCTGAAGCAATTATTATGATTACTATGATTATTGCAGCGTACGCGATGGTGTCTTGTTTGTAGATAAAGAAATTTCTAATTTATATTTTATCTTATTTTCATATTGTTTCCCCAACTGGAGTGTTTGGATTGCTTGTATTTCACATGCACAATATCACAAGACAGCTGTTCATATTTAATCATGGTATTATATAATAACTTCTACCGTATAAATTTTTCTGATTTGTTCAATCCATTCACACTATTTCAATCGCCCATTTTATACTAAAACTATTATTCAACTATGATAATGGTGATACCATGAGCAAGATTGTACGAGTATAGTAGGATTTAGTACAATTATTCGTTAATATTCCAGTCGTAATAATTTACTCTAACTATCATTGATTATTTCATGCAAGCTGATAAATTGTAAGTATGATGCTCAATTCCAATAAAGCTCGAAATATTACCATCACGACACGTTACCTATTAAAATAGAATAGTATAGAATCAGTTGATTTTATCTCTATATTTTTATCAACCTACGTATTATCTATATTTAAATCAGATATATAATTTAAATTTTTTGTAATATATGCTTCCATCGGGTTGGATAAATTGCCAATAAAAATGGATTATCAATTGTTATACTTATTATTGAAGCAAGTACCAACTAGATTATGAATCATATTTGACGTCAAAAATTGCTCTCTTCCTTTCTGTTTTATCTATTCTATCATTCATACAATAGCCAACATAAATAATTATTTGTATTTTATCCATTCGGCGTCAATCTTTACCTCTTTCTCGATATGGATGTCTGTCATTTCTTTTTCTGTCCCTTATACTATTATGATAATGGTGGTGATTGCGAACGGTAATAATAATGACTATCATAGTAGTTTACGTATTAATCACGTATAACTTCCTTCCTATAAAGTAACCTTATTTGAATTTAAATAGACCATATTGATACACAATTAGAAATAGAATATCATTAAAATACTGAATTTTCTATGCGCCGTGAGTTGTGTATTAATACAACTCTATTTCTATTCAAATTATTTGTATAGGAGGGCATCTTTAGCCTACATTGTATGGAATAAAATTGAGTTCTTCCTTATTTAATACTAATATCTTATTATGATCGTTACACAGAGAAACAGGATGACAAATTCTATGACTTTTTTAATCTTGCTCTAAATGTTCTGTTTCAGAGAGGGTTTTCTCACACATTTAAAGTTGAAGAGAAATTCAATTGTTAACATTACCCTATTCTGAGTTCATTATCAACGCCATAAAACATCATTTTACTCTAGGTAATAGTATGATAATCATGATCTATCTATACAATACAAGGTAGGTTTATATTATTTATATTATAAATGTGTAAGTCGAATTGAGATTCTATTTGATTTGTTTATTTACCCTATCGACCTACTTTGTGTCTCTATCTCTATGTATTTGTGATCCACTATACATATAATATATTCAACACAATTTAAAGCTAGCAGCCTGTCAAATATCCATGGCTATGATACAATATGTCTATCTTGTTTCAAAATTTAAAATTATCAACTAGTTATTGTTATTATCATGGAAAATTGAAAGTTATACGTACGAACAGTGAATAGAAGAGGAGATTGTTATATTCAAATGGATTATAATATGGTGGCGAGACGCAAATATTCAAATGTTATCCTATTCAATAATAACCATAATAATTGTTTAATATCCACAATAAGGATAGACGTAAGCATAATTAAAATTAATACAATGGTGTCATATTGGAGCGGATTAAGTGGGCAAAGTGTCATTGATGTCTTACTATATGATATTAAAAGTTCTCATCATTGATTCTCAATGTACATAAAAGGTCAAACATTGTCATTTCCATCATACTCCTTTCACTTGCAAGACGTATCCTATCTTGAGCTAACAAGAAGTTCATTTCAGTAACGAGAGAAAAGATTATAGATTGGCAGTATTTTTTGCTGATTAGCGAATTCAACAGCGAGATATGAATCCAATTAGACGATCGGTTCAAGAATACGGTAATCCATACGGTCATCATCATCATCAATCGAGTAGCTATAAGAAAATTACCAGCAACCTAAGTCTTGGTAATAATCGTCATGGTATTGCAAGTAGCAGCAAAAATGGTAGTAGCAGCGGTAGTAATATTGGTACCAGTAGTTATAACCATTCAAGTCATTTACCTCTAGTGACAAGCTATCAATCCAATCATCCTTACTTTCTTGGTCATTTACCTCCATTTCAAGATTATTTACAACGTGTTTGGATGAATCGACCTGGTCGACGATGTTCTTCTGCTATTTCTCGATCATTACATAATAAAATTGTCGATTATTTACAACATAATACCAGTACCACACCAAAATTCAAATATTGGGTCAAGAGTAAACGATTTACACTCATCAATAGCTATTTAGCAGTCCCTGCAGGGACAGGAAGAAAAAGATCCAAATCTACAAATAAGTTATTTCAGCTAAAATCATCATCGACTAGTAGTTCAACTCAACGCTCAGGTAATTTTATCCATGATCCCATATGGTTATGACTAGCTTTTTTAGCACAAAATGTTCTTGATTACTTTATACGGTATATCTATCTTGCTGTACCACACTGAAACCGATTATTCTTGCTTGACTATAAGTATAGTACTCTAAATTAATCATATCCTAAAAGAGATTATTCCTATATGTACGTGTGCATGATTACTTTTATTTACAAGTAGTTCAGAGGTTATGTCTGTGCTGTATATTGTTTTAATGTACATATTTGGTGCAAATATTATATTCATTTCAATTCATGTATCGGTACTTATGTTCCTTTAAGAAAATATCATTTTTTTGATTGATCTTGGATAGAAACAGCGATTCGAGGTTATCGTCGTGTTGCTGTCATCGAAGACTATGAAGAAATTATCCAACGCTATCACTGTATTGAACATGAACATGCTGGAATTCGACGGACTTATGAAATGATATGCCAAGATTATTCTTATTTTCCTCGAGCAGTGGTAGCTAAATATTTGGAATTTTGTCCAATTTGTTCGCATCGCAAACAACATGAAAGTACAACAACATCAAGTATTACAACAATATCAACATCGATACCTGCAATATCCAATCCATCAACATCCATAGCGGTTATATCCGTGGCTACTGAAGCTATTAACAATGCGGGGAAAATGGATAAGATTGTAAGTAGTGGCAATATTATGGCTGCAACTACAATATCTAGCCAATATAACTTGCGTCTAGATAGTTTTATGGCCACTGGTAATATACTTTTTATTGATATGACCCATCGACCTGATGAATTTCATACTTGGATCGGGTGTTATTTTGATTCATGGAGTAATTATTGCATACTCTTCCCTCTAAGAAATCGTAGTCCACAAGAAGTTAGCCGTAAGTTAAGTAGCCATATCTTTGCTATCTTTGGATTACCTAAATTATTGAGATGTCAGCTTGATGGGGATTATATCCAAGAATTAGTAGATCAACTTCATCAACTATGGACTATACGAAAAATGAATATACATATTGATCAGGTTAGATTAAATCATCATCCAATCATTCACTATATTCAACATCTGCTAACGATAGCATCAGTTGATAAGTGGGTTCCCAATTTACCCCAAATTCAATATAAATTAAATAATACAAGTGCCAATACCGGATGGACTCCACAACAAATTGTCTTTAATATATTACCAACATGGATAGCAAGTAAAAGCTAAAATTTGCTACTCATAATTATGATATATTACGATAACATTGATATAACATATACGGCAATCCTTAAGTTCATGCATAAGCGTATTTGTTAGAGCTCTACAGATAAGTGAATATAATCTATCGCAATATTTATTCTCATTTGTCTACATATATAGCTTATATGGTATACAATGTGTGCAAATTACTTAAAAAGATTAAATAGTTGAAGATTTAATATTTTATTGATGTAATAAGTAGGCTAGAAACATTAAAACATCTAAGCTAATTCTATAAATACTTTCATAGCCACTTACATCGCTATTATAATATCAAGTTATAAGATATTTCTGCGCAGAAATATTTTCCATTCTAATAATCGAATGCATAAAAAGTGATCTTTATAAAATTTTTTTACAGATCATGCATGATTTCTTATAACCTAAACTGCTCTGACCTACTAAATTTTATCTTCTACAATCGTATTATATTTGTGTTTACAATAAGAAAAGATTTTTTTTCGTTCTCTATCTCAGAGTTTCTTCATTTGACAGCCAATTATTAATATTAGCGCAATATCTACATGTATGACATATCGCTTTGCTGTTTTAAAATATTTAAAGCTTCCCTTTACAAAAATAAAGTTCAAGATTTTACTCACTCTATAACGATTTATTTCTTACTATTTCTATAATCCATTTAATGAAACCCATTATAGTCTCATACTAAGATAATTATTCATCTTATAAGCATTAAGAAAATCAGATTGTAAGTGGATACTGCGATCTGTCACGCAAATTGCCCTACTCCGTGAGCGGCCTTTTATTCTAGGTTGATTTGTGATTTAATAAGCTTAATTTCTATTATTTAAATATGTAATCAGTCAGAAGGACCCTATATCTCTGAACATTAGTATTGCAGTTACGTATTTTTAAATTAATGGAGCTGAGGTATATTTTATCACGGGCGTATCTTTACTGAAACCATCTCTAGACGAAAAAGACTTGGTACATTGAATCTATAAAGGTAACATGTTTGAGAATCATTAGTAACGAATAATTATTATAATCTTAAATAGCATATAATGTTATCTTTATTAATTTGGTCATAACCACCGTGGATGAAAATCACTTACAACAAAGAATTGAAATACTGATATGAAGATATAGATTAAACTAACAACCTAATATCGATATCCTTTACCTTATGATTTGAATGATGGTAGTTTAAAATAAAATTTCTTTCTTTAAGTACCATCATTAGTCGGTTACAGTTATTGGCAGTTAAATTAAATAGTTTGACTACTATTCTATGGTACTGCTATAGGCAATTTTTTGAAGAATTTCATTGAATCGCTATTCGATAACATGCTACCTGGCCTTGTGCATAACTTCAGTCATTTATCACAATATCCTTGAGTAAGAAATTTTGGGGATATAATTAATTACTATCGAAATTTTAAAATCCTTAGGGTATATGATATGATTTTATTTAGTTAGTTTAAAGGCCTTAAATACCGTAAGGTATAAATAATGTTTTAATTAACTAGGGTATAAAGCATTAACATTGAATCATAGAGCATAAAGTGTAGATAGTGGAAATTTGATAGAGATAATTTGTAAACTTAATAAATTGAAATATTTATACAGCCGTCGTTCGAACGATTTTAAAGTAACTTCTTGTCCTAGCAATCTTTTTGCTAGAATTTTTAAACTCTAGCCTATCGCATAATACCATAGGTAGATCTAATATGCGTACTTTCTTTTCCACTAGTTACAACGGAGCGCAATGATACATAGATACTAAAGTAAAAATAGCAGTAAAGATTTTTAATTTTTTCGATATTTTAAATGTCATTTAGCTGTCAGAGCTATCAAAGAAACTATCAAAGGTGGTCATCGATCCACAATTTATATTTAGCGACTACAGTACTTACTAAGATCTCAACTTTATTCTTTAATCGGCAAGTTTTTTCTGAAAACTATTCTATTTAGTAATTTATACATTATTTAAATCGAATATCAAAGAAAATGTGTCTAGAAGTAAAGCTAAAGACACTTGTTTACGAGGTCATATGAATAAGTTTTAGAACTCGTATAATTATCATAACGGTAGATATAGCAACGATTTCTGCAGAAGCTTGCGTTTGGAAACTATACTCGGTACTTAGTGTATTGGCTAATATACTCGTGCAGTACTACACATGTTTATTTAACAAATAACAATATTCCTAGTATGTTTCATGATTTACAAATTGAGTTATTTGATGAGTAAAAATCATAATATATAACGTAAAAATTAAAGATATTGATGAGGGTAACCAATATGCACAGTGGATTGCCTATATTCAAAAATGGTTAAAAATCTTTAAAATACGATATCGAATATATTTTTGTCAATTCAAATAAAGAAATTTAATTTCATTTGTCAACTATAAGACCTATCAACGTTTCTACAAGTAACTTAGGACTTCTTTTTATTTTTTTGAAGTCAAAAGGAATAGTCGTTAGGATTTGGACCTTAAAGCGCATCATAATGTCAATACACATATTTCAAGCTGTATATGTAAACACATTTTATTCGCTTCAATTTCAAGTGACGTTCTGTAGTAGGCTATAAAATACTAATTTTTCGACAAAATGTAATATCTTGATACATTAATGGCCCCTTTCATTTAGGTACGACTGAAGATTGCTTTGTCATTGCACTCTTATATTATTGCAACCTACTAGGAAATCATAAGAAGAATCGTTTACGTATTCATAATTATTAATAAATCTTTTTGTTTTTCGTTATGACTAGAAAATACGATAACTAAAATTATATAAAACCTGTCTTACTTTAACTACTCCTGTATCCAGACTTCACACCAGAGTCTATCAAAGATTACATCGGACTATAGTTGTTTTACATCAAAGGATATACCGGTATTCGATACCGAAACTATTGAGATAAAAGAAAAATTTATTCAAGCTGAGTTTATTATTGGTGAGGTATGGCTATAGTTATCACATTATGAACAAGACCGAAAACTATCATTATTACTGGCTAAACTGAGAAAATAATTCTTGTAATTTCATCGATTGATGATATTAAGCTTCGTTCTTATTCGATGTTTTCATAGTCGCCTTTGGGTAATGGGGTGAATATATAACAAGGAAATAATCGTATTAGTTAGAATGGTGTATTAAAATATAGCTGGAGTTGATGATGAATTGTTGCTTTCTTCTTTCAGAGCTATACTTCTGAAATCGTCAGGCCTCTTCTAATATAATATTGCGGATGCCACTAGAAATGATTTGGCGCATTATAACAATATCCAACTATACCGGTAACCATTTGTTGAAGTTATTAAACTGTCGATGTATCGCATAGGAATTAATAAACTTACCTAGTCTTCGATTAAAAAAATATCGTTATTTCCGTAGGTTAACAATTGTTTCTACCTTGCATGATCTAACTTAATCAATGTCATTTATATGTATCGAAGATTGGTAGCATTATTTTAACATGTGTACTATTAGCTTCCAAACGGATCATCTAATTGTTGATGTCGTATTGAATTTCCGCTTACCCGTTACCGGCATCTCTTTGTTTTAGGTGCTTATCCAACCGGAAAATGACCTCAAGGGCGAGGTATTGGGAACATTGATTAATGTCTGGTGGAACAAAAAATCGGATACACGCATAGATAAGATTAACTCTAGCAATAATGACCATCAAAATGAGTGAGAAACTGAGGGTACATTCAAACAAGGCTCGATTAATGAGGTGATTATAGTGTAGTTCTATTTGAAAGCATTATCTTTAATTGCAGGCACGGATAGCCTACTAAGTCCTAGTTATAATAGAATTTTTTCCAGTAGATAATAATGCTGCTGTTTTTGGTATCATGCTCATAATTTGCTTGGAAAAGTTCGTAGACTTTATTACTTCAATTACTGATCAGCTCAAGACATGGTATTACTACAGCATAATCTAGAGTATCAGTGAGTTCTTGCTGACAGGGTCACTTTATATGTTCGAAGAATTTTCTATAGATCGATTTGAGATCGTTTAATACTGACTTATTGGACTAAATCATTTTAACAATCATCAAAGTATACGTGATATCCTCTATGATCAATATTTTAGTTTAACAATTGGTGGATATTTTTACGTATGTGAAAGATGCAAAAAGCTAACAACGGCAATTTTTCTATAAAAGATGGCATCGCTTCTTTATAACGTTTGCTTCTCAGAGTTAAATAAGTCTATTTTCAAATTAGGATACGATGTATTGTTATATGCGATTCTATCCTTTCGCTATCGATATAGTAAATACTGTACATGCTATCAAGATAATCCTTCTTCGTTCTTGTAGAATTCGATATATTGACTGATGCGACGCAACTCTAACCATATAAATGATGCTAATGACAAGATATAATGTAATGTACCATACATTGTCTGTAATTATAGCAATTTATGAATGCCTCTTCAGCTCTCTCTCTACGTATATTCACATTGGACGAATTAATAGGAAACTGGAAGCATGTACTAGAGTGATATATCCACTATAGCTTTACATTTGTATTAAAGCTCTCCACTAATTCCTATAAAAGTACCGAATTTTTTTATTAAATTTTTATTATTTGCATATCCAGCGATGTAACAAGACAGAATTGTAATATACTGCAATCTATCTGCATACAAGATCACAGAAATCAGTCGATAATAATTAATTATCTGAAACGCATTCTATAATTCTTCTACACATGTGGATTCTAATTCTCATCAAATTGTATCATGTTTAACTAAGAACCGGAAAAGTCCTATTACTTTGTTGCTTATTTATAGCATACATAAGGTGAGATATAATGTTTAGGATTGTAAAGATATTAGAAAGAAATGAATTCCTATAGCCGTTGTGGATATTTTTTCTATAAATTGAAACGTCGCACTGAATACGTCTGCTGACATAAACTATTCGTTGAAATTTTTTATAAAATACTATTTCTTATGAGATATTGATACATGTGCGTATGATATGGATGACAAAATGTTATTTGGCAGTAACTAACCACAACGACTATCACAAGAATTACTTCATTTATCTTTGGAATAAAAATTGAGATACGTACAGAGTTTATTGATTATTTTATCTGAAGTCATTCATAGCTTACAACCAAGATGAGATAGAAGTTACAGAACAAGGTTGCTATTAAACGTGTTAATATCAGTACTTTAAATTAGACGGTAAAATATCAAATAGTTCTATCCTAGGTTATCGCTTGATTTAATTAAACGTGTTTATATGTCTATGACGAAATTTAAACACACAGTACCAACATAAATCGACAGAATCTCATTTTATTGCTTGCTACTATAATATTTAGCGGCTCATTTGTTGCATAGTGTTTAACTACGGTACATTTTTGGTCCAAATTTTAAATTAAATTACATTTTTAAAAAATTTCTTGCTCCTCTTGAAACAGGTAAATAACATGATGATATAGGAGTGTATAAATTTCGTACGGATAAGTATTTTATAAAATAATTTTTAATAAGTCTGGATATCTTCGCCACTTTATTCCTTTACGTAGGTATATCACTTTTTGACGAAGACTAGACGAAATAATGCTCAGACTACATGAAAAATTGAAAAGTATACGTACTTTTACCGTATCTTGCATTATTCTTACCCATGCAAGCAATCGATCCTATCTTATGTTCTATATTTGAAAAGAGTAATATGAAACTAGAGCCTATTATAAGTACTTGTCATGGTAATCGTGCCGCGACAAGTAATCTTATATATGTAAATTGTTAATAAATATAGAATTGTTAAATAAATTCAATTTCTGGTAAGAGCTAGTGAATTAGTTTGATACTTAACTTATGAGAGCTCAAAAGTCAGAATGTGTTCGTGAATAATCTTGCGTTACATGCGCTCTAATATATTTTAAAGTAGAGCATAAAGTTATACAAATTTAGATCTAAGAATATACCACAGCGGATATTGTTTAGTAATGTTCAATTCCATTTATATGTTGTATACTCTGTAGCTGCTTGCGAATAAAGTTGAAAGATGTAAAAGCGAGTTGCTTTTATAATAAAGAGAGTTCTAGATTTGATCTTACAGTAGTAAAGACTGATGTTTGTGTTTAGCTGCAGTTGGAAGTAGTTCCTGTGTTACAAAAGTGGTTGTAACAGTACTGTATTTCGTGCGTGAACTAAATCTATAGCTTCACTGTTTGAAGATACGAATAGGTGTGATCTATTAGAACCCAACTCTTAATAGACATTATATAAAGCGCTAATTTTAAATGTATAGTCTTCACAGTTACTAATAACTTAACTATCGAAAAATTGCAAAGAAATAATCTATCACGTATTCTTTAAGAACATCATTAATTAAAATTTAAATTTTAATGTAAAATTGTTTATTATTTTGCCTGTTTTTGTGCGAATGCGATTAAGGAATTTAATTCATTAGTCATATTGTATTAGTAAAAATGATCTAATGAATATTTTCATGTGACTAATAATATAAATTAGTTAAGTTTTGCATTATAATTGTTATTACAGTTTAAACAATCAAGTTAAGAAAATTAATTAAACGAAATGTTAACTAGGCTTAGCAATTATATAATTATTAAAGTTAAAAAAAAATTAAAATTAGACAAAATCAAACTGTATCAGTCAATTCATTTTCATCAGCTAAATGGGTTGACATTTTTTAAATTTCGGAAGTTATAATTGACTGATATCTTCTTATAATATCAGTTCGTGACAGTATGATGTAAAAATATTAATCTACCTCTTCACAATCAATTATGAAGCATGAAATTAGTAGATGCAGTATAAAAAGTGCTCAAGTTCAACTTGTCGATTTTGTGTTGAAAAATTAATGATGTACAGCAAACTCATTAATTATTTTTAAGTGATGGCATTAGGAAAGTCTAATTAACAAATGTCCTTGGATGATCTTCCATAATAATAAAATAAAAATGGCATATAGAAAAAATTACTAATTATCTATCTTAATTCATAATTCAGCTATAGGGCTAAATTGATGATATGATTAATTAATTATATTAATTATCAATATTGGCAATCTTAGTTGAATATACTATCGTTACCATATCTATACCTATTCATACGATATCTGTTTGGATAAAGTAATCGTAAGAAAATAGGAAGTAATAGTAGGAAGAAAGTCAAGAAACAAGAAAGGAAAATAAAGATTTAATGGTAAGGTGAGTATTTACTTTAATTCGAATATCTCATGCATCGAAATTATTCTCTATCCAATATATTAGCAGTGCCCATACTTGCGATCAGAAAGTTAGAAATTATGGCTGTAGTCCTATAGTGATTATATATTCCGTTAAGATGAATACCAACGTATAGACTATATACCAAGCAGAGTAGTTTATGCCGATAATTTTATTCTTTTAATTTACTATTGGCGTTAAACCTTGTTTAGGTGCGGTATTTATCAGCTTGAAAACCACCGTAACAACTAACTTTATGTGTTTACTTTAATAGTAGCCAGCAAAGTTTCTAGGTCTCTTTCTTCTATTTCCATGATAATAATGGCCATTAGAGGCAGTACGTTTTGGATGAGTGAATTTGTCATGACTATTCCTTTCGTAATAATTATTGCGTGTGTTCGAATGGTGATGGCGATATCGATCACCATTATTATTATTGTCTAGTCGATGGCTATTACTATCATGGGAGCGCATATCAGAGGTAGATTTAGAGTGCCTATTGCTTTCATGAATTTGATTTTTCAAATTGGTTACAGAATTCATTAAAGAGGATGCCGCAGGATTAGTAATAGGATGAACATTGGTTTTCGATGGCTTAATATCTTGACTATCGTTATTTTTATTATTATTTTGCAATCGGTTTTCATTGGGTCGGTGATTGGATCCAGACAGTTGAATATCCCTATCATGATAGTTATTGATTGCATTGGTGGATGTTGACGAATTGCGATGATTCACATTATTATTATTGGTATTAGCATTGGTGTTGGTGTCCATATTGTCGAGATGGCCATCATTAGCTCGAGTTGCAGTTCCTTTAGCATGATAGGTACTAAGATGTTTCTTAAGTGAAATAGCACTAGTAAATGTCATCGAGCATAAAGAACACTGTATTAATCCATGTTGACGATTATGTTCATCAAGTTCAGTAACAGTATTGAATTTTTCCGAACAAGTTGAGCACGGATAAACTTGAGAGCCATTACTTTCTGAATTACTGGAAATATTAACATCAACTTCATCCACTGAGTCAGGATTATCGATTCCATGTTGAATGATCAGATGGCGCTTTAAGGATAATTTATTACTAAAAAATTTTCTACAGTAGCTACATCGATAAGCGCCGGAGTGTTTCTTAACATGTTCACGTAAATAATAAACGCTAGTAAAGGATTTCGAGCAAGAATCGCATGAATAACGTAATCGGCCAGAACGTACAGTAATTGCAGAATCCTTATTGATATCGTTATCATCGTTTTTATCCATATCTAATTCCTGTTGATCATCATCGCCTCGATCATTGAGTAATTCTTTCGATTGGCGAGTAATCATTCTCCTAGTAATCATACCTCTTTCAGGTTCTGCATCAACTAGATGATGATTTATATCGACGTGATTACTTCTATGATGGCCTTCTGTTCGCGCAGCTTTACCAATTTCCGCATCATTTTCTACTTCCTCATCATCATTTGTATTAACATGGTTGTTCTCATTCGCATGCCCATTACTTGGATGCACAATTTTATCTTGATAGTCACGGCGTGTTTGAGTTTGATCCTGATTGCTATTTTGATTGGCAAATAGTGGTACATTACTCTCATCGTAGTGATTTTGTCGTGTCATTGCCATTCCATTGGTGTTATTACTTGTTGCAGTAAGATGGTGATTTTCTTCAATAGGATGAAAGCGGTGATTGGTGATCGTATTGACCATGTTAACATCTTTACTCGATGGATTAGAAGTCTCACGATGGTTAAGAGGATGTTGTGCTGGTTGTGGTTGTTGTTGAGTTTGTTTAACCGCTTTTTGAAAGCTGTAAAATTCTTTTTCATGATATTTTTTCATATGCTTGTTGACTGCCGAGATACAACTGAATGGTTTGCTGCAAAATTTGCATACACATGAACTTGGCTGGTTATGCATTTTAACGTGAGCTTTCATGTAGGTTAGGCTAGTAAATTGTTTATTACAGATTTCACATTCGTAATAATTTTTACCACTTTCATCTTCGCCCACTTTACTAATAAATGAGGATCGTTTAGCACTATCTTGTGAATCGTGATTATCACCGTTACTGCTGGTTGCTGTTGGAGTGGTAGTAGTATTGCTAGAATTGTGCTGGCTGTTGTTATTAGCATTGATGGGAATAGTACGATAGCCATCTTTCTCTCGGCTAGGTGTTGATGTGGTTAATTTTTGACTGTTTTGTTGATTCAGACTAGATCGATTACCCTCCATGGAATTATTATTATTATTATTATTATTATTATTATTGAACAAGTCATCATCGCTATGAGAGCTAGAATTCATGGATGGCAGGTGATTAGGATAATAATTAGCATGATAGCGAAAATGATGGTTTTGCCGGTCTTCTTCATTATTACTGGCTATCGATGAATCATTTCGAGAATGGTAGTATTGTCGACTTTGCTCCTCAGAGCGATGGATAATTGGATGAGTGGATGCTATAATGTGCTTGCTATGATCGGCTGTATCGCTATGATTCGATGTTCTATCATCATCAGCAACTTCGCCATCGGCATGTTCATCATCGGGTGATATAACTCCGTTATGATAATCTTTAATATGCTTATTGAGTGAGGATGTACAACTGAAAAGTTTATTGCATTCAGGGCAACGGAAGGAATCAGGTATCTCATGAACACGAATATGCGCTTTCAAATAAGAATTACTGCTAAAAGATTTACCACAATATTTACATGTAGGTGATCGCTTTAACATACTAGGTGATAATTCTTGTCGTTCATTGTTGGCAAATTTAACGGGCGATAGACGTTGTATATTAGAATTATTTTGCTGTTGATGCTGTTGTTGTTGTTGTTGTTGTTGTTGTTGTTGTTGCTGCTGCTGCTGCGGCTGCTGTTGTTGTTGTATCAGTAAACCACTAGCGTTGGCAATGGCGTAGCTGCCATCGATAACATATTTGCCGGCTGCTACTGGATATTGTGCAAGGCATGGTACATGTGAATAAGGATCCATGATTGCTGCCGCTATTGGATTGTGCCGATTGGCAGCAGAATAAGTGTAAAGGCTTGGATCAACGAGTGGTCGAGGTAGGCAATTATTTAAAACTGCAGCATTGCTTCTATCATAGACTTTGGAAAGATTGCTGCTACTATCATTACTGTTTGTATCTTTGTCTTTCTTTTCTAACCCATTCATAACATGATCACTGTTTTCCTTGTCTTCTTCAGCTTTTCCTCTTGCTGGATTATTTTCGCCTACTTTGCTCGTTTGATAACTACGTAATGATTCTTTTCGAGTACTGATATGATCCCGTTTACCTTGATCGTTTTCTTCGCCCTCTTCGTTATCATCAGCAAGCAATACTAACCAAGCGATAACACTGGATGTTAGCGTAGCTACGGAAGAAGCCATGGCGATGTTGAGTGTTTCGCCTAATGATGATGATTGATCTAAGTCAATGGATGATTTAACAACTTCATCTGCCCATAACGTTAACTGAGCTAAAGAATAACGGACGTAATCCAATTTTGAAGTGAATTGATCGGAAGATGCTTGAGAGGAAATTCTGTTTAAATTATATGAAATATTTAACAAGCATTTTTGCATAGAATGGTAAGATTCTTTGATTAAATTGGCTTCATCGGGGTTTTCAGTTGTAGACCTTTTATACCCAACTGGACTAAATTTATCTGCAAAAATAACGATATCATGGCAGATTGAGGTGATTTCGCCAGCTGTACAATCGTCATTACCCAAGAGTTCTTGTAATTTTTTTAATGACACAGCCGTTAATTCCTAAATTGATCAAAGGATAATGTTACTATTGCAAGATGGTTTATTAAGATAGTAATTAACAGATATTATGCAATGAATTGCAACTTTGTAGATAATTGGATAATGTTAATATGCCAAAGATAGTTTATTGAGGTTGTAATTAACAGACATTATGTAATGAATTGCAACATTTTAGGATGGGATATTTAGACTTGATTGATCAATGGATAAAATTATTATTGTAAAGACATTTTACTGAGGATTTAGTCTGCTTATGATATGAATACAAATTGCAGTACCGGCTGCAAATTATAGGTTAACGATCCTTTTACCAGAGTTTGCTAAGCGCAAGATCACCATTTTATATATTAAACTATTCCCCAACTTTCCTCACTCTAGCTGACGTGCAAAATTAAATTAGTTGTAATCGGCAAAGCTCTACAACTGTCCATTTGAAATTGGAAATTTTCCGCTTTGTGGGTCCATCTATTCAACCTAATTATGGCTATAGTCGCAACCTGAAAGTTCATTTACCAAACTTTACTATAAAAGTATAAGATTAACCTTTGCAGGTTAAAACTATTCCCAATTTCCCGAGTGTTGATGGCAAAATCCGGTTGATACGGTAGGAATGCGCAATGGTCAATACAATTTGATAATGCCAAGATTTATTGTAAAAGAACGGGCTGACTATAGTATGAATTTAAAAACTATCCAAGCGTTCTGTTAAACACACATGGATTAAAATACAGCGGAAGGATTCTCTATATATTATCAACGATGGATATAATAATTAGATAGAGTAAACTAAAATATATATATATATATTTATCGATGATGAATAGAATCATTAGATAGACTAAAGTATAACATAAATGTGCGTATGCTGTATATATCGATAATGAATGTAATAATCAGATAGAGTAAACTATAATATATATTTATCGATGATGAATATAATACTGTAATTAGATAGGGTCAAACTATAACTTATTTTTTCACCTAGTTGTAGAACTATTTCTAATTTCCCGGCTATCAGTGATAAAGTTCAATTAGTAGTAATGTACCAAGTTCTACAATCTGACAATGTCATAATAAACGCCAAAATTTATTTTAAAAGAACGGCCTGAATATACTGTAGTATCAATTTAAAAACTATCCAAGTGTCCCGTCGAGCATACCTTGATTAAAACTCAACGGAACGATTCTGTATGTATTATCGATGATGGATACAATAATTAATTAGATAGAGAAAACTATAAATCATTTGCCTTCCTAGCTGTATGCTGGTGTTGCTATAATCGATGATAGTATTACTATCATCGATTAACCGTGGGAATTAATGACATGGGAAAGGCAGGGATCACACTTTACATAGGGTCTCCACTCTTGGTAGTTGATGTATTCCCTAATTCATTAATGATGAATAATAATGTTGTAAAGGAATAAAAAGACTGAAATAGTCGACGTGTAAGGAGTAAAAACACGACACAGAAGGGCTTCCAATCTATTGTAGTAGAACAAATTTAAATTGAAAACTTTAGCTATTGTTGAAATTTTTAATGGAAATATTTTATTGTCGTCAGTCTCCCGTAGCTGTACATCATATGTGGGCTTTTCGACAGAGTCTTATTTTAAAATCAATTAGCAGTTGCTGAAAAAAGACTGAAATCCCAGTCCTGCAATTTTTTTAATTTATCAACGGCAAAATAGGAACTAATTCCCAGGAGTAAACTAGTTTTATTATGCCTTATAATTTAGTATTGCCGACAGGATTAGCCTAATTTTAAATTGTATTCAAGGCTTGTTATCGAAAATCAACGCATTCCACGCATGCATTCATTTAATTATGGACGGATCCAGTTGACTTTTTCCGTCTAGAATCGTACTGGGCAACTTCTTTCTTCAACATGGTGCCGCCATATTTTACGCTGAACAATAAAGTTGAATGCGAAAAAGTACAAGTCCAATTCAATGGAAAACAAGTAATCACTGAAGAATGTTGTTTTGGGAAGGGCACTGTCCATCTCGTGTATTATTTGAAAACTAGTAACTTACTCTCTAGATCATCATTTTAAAAAATTTTTGGATATGGTTTGATGATATCAACAACTTTTTTATTCGTCTATGGCTGTGGTCGTGACTCCTCAATCTTCTATCGCCTTTTTTTGTTGCTTTTACTTATAAATTCGCGTTGTTTATTTTGATCAGTAGTTTCAAGAGTTCGAAATCAATTGTCATAGAGGAAATAAATGACTAGTAGAGAACTTTCGTGGAAATTGTAATTTTTCTCTCAATACTGATTATTTTTGTAGTTCTTTAGCAACTAAACTTGAAGAAGCATGATGTTATCGAAATCATGATTGAAAAATATCCAATAGATATCTAGTACAAGAACGAGACAGCTTGAATGTGTAGATGGATAAACTGAATTTTCCTTCCCACGGTGTCTTTCTTTTTTTTGTTGTCCAATTTATAAATTTGATTTGATTTCTATTCATTAATGGACATTCATGAAGCATATGAAGATAGTTAATCACCATCTTGCATTGAGAGAAAGAGATTCCTCTCAAGATAGGTTGAATGATCAACAATTCATTAGATGAGGAAGTCAAAAGATAGCCAAAAAATTCCGAATTATTCATGTATGAATATTTTTCTGCTGCCCTGTGGGCACACCCTTTTTTCAAAATTACAGTTTTTGAATGCGTGTTGAGCAAGTAAATGAGTACAAAGACGATAGATTGATTAATCAAGTCATTTAGGATGGTCATGATGGAGTCTGTAGAATAGTAGGATTCAAAAGTGTTAAATTAACGCGTCTTTTGTGACTTGATTGCTACAACATCAATTTTCAAACATAACATCAAGTCTAAAAATGGAAAGAAAATTACATTGTTCGTTATGGATGAGAGGATGATAAGCCATTTTACCTTGGTAGAATCATTGACTGATAGGATTGCCGTGGTAAAAGTAATTTTTTCCCCTCCCCTGCTCTTGATGATGACGAGGAGAGGGCACAGTGGTCTCCAGGACGTGCATTTGGTTAAAACAGAAGCAAGGAGAAGAGGTGGAGATTAATCGATAAATTCAATGTTTAATTTATTAATGATTGTCCCCATGATCGGAGAGGAAAGCCCTGAAATTCAAGCACTGCTATGACATCATGCTAGACCCCATCAATACTCGTTGACAATATAACATAAATCATTAGCATAATAGAGTCGCCAAGGGTAAATAGATTTCATCATTAAATTGATGAATAAAATCAAAATAATACTCAGCGGCGAAAGACTATAGATGAACAAACAAAGCGTAGAAACGGATAAAATAGTACACTAGTCTTGCTATGGCCATCATAATAGGCATGGACAAAAAATGGCTAGCAAACAGTGATGTTGAATTGTGGATTGTTACAATCAAATCTTCCAATTCCTCTTTGTCCCTAACTGATTGTTGCTGATTGTTTTAGTTGAAATGGAATCATTAAATTCGCATCGTCGATTTGATGATCGCCATTCCAACATGTCAATATTCAATTCACTACTAGAATTGTTGGCTAGTGGTAACGTGAGGATGGATTTAGGTTATTGTTGTTTAATATTATTTTTTGCTATGGTGGATGGTTATTCTCAACGACCAGGTCGATAATGTCGATCAAGACTACCTGTTGAAATCTATCATTTCGCTTAGCTCTTTTTTTCCATCGAATAATCCATGTCTAGATGTCGTCGTTATGAGTCAAAAAGGGAGAGAAGTACAATTAACCTTATAGGGGAGATGAATTCATCACGGGGTCGAGAGGAAAAAAATCGATCTAATATCCTATTGGGATGAAAAAAGAAACTTTTTCCACGCTAAAAATGTATCTGTTATCGGTCTAATGGATCGATTCCAATAGATAATATTTCATATTTAATTGAAAATAGATTGATAGAGGAATAAAATGAATGACAAATGGATTGCATGTGGTTATGAAT